AATACCTTACAGGGAGGCAACAACGAGTCATGGTACGTGACGAGGTGTCAGAGTGGGCGCCTGTGACGAGCGGGGTTCCACAGGGGTCAGTCCTAGGATTAGTGCTGTTTTTGGTGTATGTGAATGACATGACGGAACAGATAGACTCAGAAGTGCCCCTGTTTGCAGATGATATGAAGTTAATGAGAAGAATTAAATCGAATGAAGATCAGGCAGGACTACAAAGAGACCTAGATAGACTGGAAGCCTGGTCCAGCAACTGGCTCCTCGAATTTAACACCGCCAAATGCAAAGTCATCAAGATCGAGAAAGGGCAAAGAAGACCGCAGACCAAAGCCTGCAAGCCTCACTCAAGAAAAAGGATCTCGGGGCGAATATAATACCGAACACATCTCCTGAGGTGCACATCAACCAGATAACTGCTGCAGCATATGGGCACCTTCGAAACTTAAGAATAGCAATCCGATACCTCAGCAAGGAATCGTTCAAGACTCTTACTGGAGTATACAGCACCAATTTGGAACCCACACCTGGTCAAGCACGTCAAGAAATTTGAGAAAGTGCAAAGGTGTGCAACAAGACTAGTCCCAAAGCTAAGGGGAATGTACAATGAAGAAAGATTATGGCAAATCGGCCTGACGACACTGGAGGACAAGAGGGTTAGGGAGACATGATAACGACATATAAAATACTGCGAGGAATTGATAAGGTGGACAAAGACAAGATGTTCTAGAGAAGGGACAAAGAAACAAGGTGTCACAACTAGATGTTGAAGACTCAGACGAGTCAAAGGGACGTTAGGAAGTATTTCTTCAGTCATAGAGTTGTCAGGAAGTGGAATAGTCTGGAAAGTAACGTAGTGGAGGCACGAACCATACATAGCTTTATGAAGAGGTTTGATGAAGCTCATGGAGCAGGGAGAGAGTGACCCAGTAGCGATCATTAAAGTGGCCGGACCAGGAGCTATGACTCGACCCCTGAAACCACAAATAGGTGAGTACAATTCTGTAGCTTCAATTTCAGCACACTACTGTACCTTCACTCTCAACACACACTACTGTAGCTTCACCCTCAACACACACTACTGTACCTTCATTCTCAACACACACTACTGTACCTTGACCCTCAACACACACTACTGTACCTTCATTCTCAACACACACTACTGTACCTTCATTCTCAACACACACTACTGTACCTTCACTCTCAACACACACTACTGTACCTTCATTCTCAACACACACTACTGTACCTTCACCCTCAACACACACTACTGTACCTTCATTCTCAACACACACTACTGTACCTTCACCCTCAACACACTACTGTACCTTCATTCTCAACACACACTACTGTACCTTCATTCTCAACACACACTACTGTACCTTCATTCTCAACACACACTACTGTACCTTCACTCTCAACACACACTACTGTACCTTCACTCTCAACACACACTACTGTACCTTCACCCTCAACACACACTACTGTACCTTCACTCTCAACACACACTACTGTACCTTCACTCTCAACACACACTACTGTACCTTCACCCTCAACACACACTACTGTACCTTCACTCTCAACACACACTACTGTACCTTCACTCTCAACACACACTACTGTACCTTCACTCTCAACACACACTACTGTACCTTCACCCTCAACACTGGTGGCTATAGCTTCAAGCAGCAGCAACAATAGCAACAACAGTTACAGAAGCAGCAGCTGCAACAGCAATATCAGCAGTCCCAATTGCAGAAAACAGCGGTTGCAGCAGCCGCAGCTGCCACAGACTCATTAATCACATAAACAGCGGCAGCAGTAGCAGCAGCCACAATAGCAGTAGTCAAATAAGGAGCAGCAGCAGCAGTAGAAGCAACAGAAACAACAGCAACAACAGTAACAGCAGCAGCCACTGTAACAGCTGCAGCAGCAGCAGCACCCGAAGCAAAGAGAAGCTGCAGCAGCCACAGCCACATCATCATCATTAGCAGCAGTACTAGTAATCACAGCTGCCGTAGCCACATAAGCAGCAGCAGTAGCAGCAGGAACATCCAAACAGACATCAGCAGCACCAACATCGTCAGCAACAGCCACAGTACCAGCTGTTGCAGCGGCAGCAACAGCAGCAGCAGCAGCAGCCGTAGATGAATCCGGGAACGACTTGCTTAGCATGTACCATTAAGTTTGTTTCAGTGCTCATCGGCTCTTGCATTCTTCCTTGATTTAGTTGACCCAGCCTCCTGTAAGGTTTTCGAGATCTTCCACGGTTCACCTTTCCAGTACGTAAGACTCCATTCTCATGCTTCAGTTTTACATTGTTCCAGACTTTGGAGCTGAACACTTCTCCAGGATGAGGACTGATCACTTCAAGAACTCCTTCAAACTTAACTGTGCACATGTGTCTTGCTCATCTACTTCTTGGTACTGTATACCAACAGTAGCATTAGTAACAGTTGCAGCAGCAGCAGGAACAACAGCAGCAGCAGCAACAGCAGCAGTAGACTCAGTCACAGTAGCCACAGCAACAGTAGGGACAGCAAAAGCAAGAGCGGTAGCAGCAGCTACAACAAGAGCAGAAGCAGCAACAGTAGCGGTAGAAACAGCAGCAACCATAGCTATAGTAGCCACAACAACAGCACAAGCATCAACCGCAGTTGCCTCGAGAGCAGAAGGAACAACAGCCGAAGTAGGCACAGCAGCAGCAATAGAAGTTGTCACAACAGCAGTAGCGGCCGCAAAACTATCAGCTGTAATCGCAGTAACCACAGCCACAGCAGTTGGAGCAGCAACAGCCAAGTAACTGTCATAGCCTCAGCTGCAGTTACAAGAGTGATGGGGTCGAGACTAAAAGATATTTCACAAAAATAGATGTTACAGGGATGTTTCTCTCTGGTCGGTTATCAAGTCTTACAGATGATATAAAATGCATATTATATATATATATATATATATATATATATATATATATTATATATATATATATATATATATATATATATATATATATATATATATATATATATGTCGTGCCGAATATGTAAAACTGGTCAATTAGCAAGAACTCCTTTAAAATTAAGTCCTTTCGAAAATTTTCTCTTATACGTTTAAAGATATATTTTTTTCGTTAATGTTAATGTGAAAAATTTTAATTTTGCACCAAAAGAATCTTAGAAAACTTACCTAACCTTATTATAACAAGAACAATTAATTTTAGCCTAATCCAACTAAATACATTTTAAATATTTTTACAATAATTTAATACTAAACAAACACAATCAAACATATTTTTTTCGTTAGGTTCAGAATGATTTTGGCGAAATTATTGCATACACAAATTTTCACTTGTCCTATATGGCAAGATGAGCGTTGCTATTTAAGCCAAGATCGCAAGTTCAGCTTATTCGGCACGACATATATATATATATTATAATATATATATATATATATATATATATATATAATATATATATATATATATATATATATATATATATATATATATATATATATATATATGTCGTGCCGAATATGCAAAACTGGTCAATTAGCAAGAACTCATTTAAAATTAAGCCCTTTCCAAAATTTTCTCTTATACGTTTGAAGATATATTTTTTTCATTAATGTTAATGTAATTTTTTTTAATTTTGCACCAAAAGAAACTTAAAAAACTTACCTAACCTTGTTATAACAAAAGCAATTTATTTTAGCCTAACCCAACTAAATATATTTTAGATTTCCTTACAGTAATTTAATACTAAAGAAACACAATGAAATATATTTATTTCGTTACGTCCAGAATGATTTTGGCGAAATTATTGCATACACAAATTTTCGCTTGTCCTATATGGCAAGATGAGCGTTGCTATTTAAGCCAAGATCGCAAGTTCTGCCTATTCGGCACGACATATATATATATATATATATATATATATATATATATATATATATATATATATATATATATATATATATATATATATATATATAAAGTGGAATAGTCTGGAAAGTAACGTAGTGGAGGCACGAACCATACATAGCTTTATGAAGAGGTTTGATTAAGCTCATGGAGCAGGGAGAGAGTGACCCAGTAGCGATCATTAAAGTGGCGGGACCAGGAGCTATGACTCGACCCCTGAAACCACAAATAGGTGAGTAAAATTCTGTAGTTTCATATATATATATATATATATATATATATATATATATATATATATATATATATATATATATATATATATATATATATATATACATATATATACTGATAGTGAGGCTAGTACACCAAACGGGGATTAGAATGAATTTAGCTCAGAGGCAACCACATCATCTTATGTCCCCAGATCACGGTAAAACACCTAGCTCTGCTGAGTGTGAAACGTTTGTACCTATTTTATACAACCTATTGCTAAGACTGTCTTGGTGGAATAATGGAAGCCAGTCAGTGCTCAGTCCGTCCTCTTAATGACAGACAGAATATCACTGTTGCTTTGACAGTCAAATGCGTGACTGTTTAACGAGTTTCAAACAGTGATTATCTGACTTTCAGTCTTCTACTGCGCTCAGTGATTTCCCGTTTACCGTTCACGCGTAAAAAGTGTTTATTTATTTATTCTCGTTATTGCATCGTGTAACTAGTTAACATTTAATGAAAGAGAAAAATCTAACTTAACCTAACTTAAATGACGCAAACTCAAAAATTTCCTGCAAGCCATTTGTGAGAAATCTATATAGAGTTTGCGATGATAGAATGCAGTAGTTAAACTAAACTGAATTTACCTATGTTCTGTGCTTTGATATTCTGTGTACTAATTAAAGCAGTTGCAGAGCACCATCTTCTGGCGGGTCCCTGTCTTTGATATACCTTTAGCCAGTTTCATTAAGCCGGCAACCAGGAGAACAGGTCCCGTACCAGTTGCCGTACAGCAGTGACCCCACACACTATAAACAGGTAGTCAATATTTAGTGTTCATATATTGTTTTGTCCTGTGTTTCAGTGGTGGACCGCACCAACTCTACCAGAGAGGCTGACCCCACAGGTCAAATCTTCAAACGAGGTCATGTCAGCCGCGGAGTTTACTTCCCAACGCTTACTAACAGGTAAATACATACCTTCTATCTACTTTATTGAAAGGTAAATATTGCAGCCCTTTCTACGTTAATGATATATATATGTCGTGCCGAATATGTAAAACTGGTCAATTAGCAAGAACTCATTTAAAATTAAGTCCTTTCAAAAATTTTCTCTTATACGTTTAAAAATATATTTTTTTCATTAATGTTAACGTAAAAAAAATTAATTTTGCAGCAAAAGAATCTTAGAAAACTTACCTAACCTTATTTTAACAATAACAATTTATTTTAGCCTAACCCAACTAAATATATTTTATATTTGTTAACAATAATTTAATACTAAACAAACACAGAGAAATATATATTTTCGTTAGGTTCAGAATGATTTTGGCGAAATTATTGCATACACAAATTTTTGCTTGTCCCATATGGCAAGATGAACGCTGCTATTTAAGCCAAGATCGCAAGTTCTGCCTATTCAGCACGACATATATATATATATATATATATATATATATATATATATATATATATATATATAATATACATATATATAATATATATATATATATATATATATATATATATATAATATATAATATATATATATATATATATAATGGGAATTGACACAGTTACTTTTTGCTGATGATACTGTGCTTATGGGAGATTCTAAAGAAAAATTGCAAAGGTTAGTGGATGAGTTTGGGAATGTGTGTAAAGGTAGAAAGTTGAAAGTGAACATAGAAAAGAGTAAGGTGATGAGGGTGTCAAATGATTTAGATAAAGAAAAATTGGATATCAAATTGGGGAGGAGGAGTATGGAAGAAGTGAATGTTTTCAGATACTTGGGAGTTGACGTGTCGGCGGATGGATTTATGAAGGATGAGGTTAATCATAGAATTGATGAGGGAAAAAAGGTGAGTGGTGCGTTGAGGTATATGTGGAGTCAAAAAAACGTTATCTGTGGAGGCAAAGAAGGGAATGTATGAAAGTATAGTAGTACCAACACTCTTATATGGGTGTGAAGCTTGGGTGGTAAATGCAGCAGCGAGGAGACGGTTGGAGGCAGTGGAGATGTCCTGTTTAAGGGCAATGTGTGGTGTAAATATTATGCAGAAAATTCGGAGTGTGGAAATTAGGAGAAGGTGTGGAGTTAATAAAAGTATTAGTCAGAGGGCAGAAGAGGGGTTGTTGAGGTGGTTTGGTCATTTAGAGAGAATGGATCAAAGTAGAATGACATGGAAAGCATATAAATCTATAGGGGAAGGAAGGCGGGGTAGGGGTCGTCCTCGAAAGGGTTGGAGAGAGGGGGTAAAGGAGGTTTTGTGGGTAAGGGGCTTGGACTTCCAGCAAGCGTGCGTGAGCGTGTTAGATAGGAGTGAATGGAGACGAATGGTACTTGGGACCTGACGATCTGTTGGAGTGTGAGCAGGGTAATATTTAGTGAAGGGATTCAGGGAAACCGGTTATTTTCATATAGTCGGTCTTGAGTCCTGGAAATGGGAAGTACAATGCCTGCACTTTAAAGGAGGGGTTTGGGATATTGGCAGTTTGGAGGGATATGTTGTGTATCTTTATATGTGTATGCTTCTAGACTGTTGTATTCTGAGCACCTCTGCAAAAACAGTGATAATGTGCGAGTGTGGTGAAAGTGTTGAATGATGATGAAAGTATTTTCTTTTTGGGGATTTTCTTTCTTTTTTGGGTCACCCTGCCTCGGTGGGAGACGGCCGACTTGTTGAAAAAAAAAAAAAATATATATATATATATATATATATATATATATATATATAAACATAGTTTTTACGTCCACAGCAGGAATCGAACCTGCAAACTCTGTATGAGAGACCACAGTACTTTACAACTGAGCTAGACCCAAGATAAGTATGGGCGTCCAGGCGGAGCCAGACGATGTTTCCCCGTACCCCCGGGCACCAAGCTCGTTTTGAAAGTTATTTCATCGAATCCTGCCACATACAGTGGACAACGAAAGAGATTTGAAGTACTTAACAAATCGCAAACAGACGAAATTATGCACATGCATATATATACACACATCTAGGTTTTTCTTCTCTTTCTTAACAGTTCCTTTTTTATTTCCTTTATTCTCCATGGGGAAGTGGAAAAGAATCTTTCCTCCGTAAGCTATGCGTGTCGTATGAGGCGACTAAAATACCAGGAACAATGGGCTAGTAACCCCTTCTGTAGATAATACTAAAAAAGAGAAGAAAAACTTAATAAAACTTTGAATTGGTAGATAAAAAACTACTGGGTAGACTTCAGCGTGTACATGTTTATAGAGGTGCCACAGATATATCGGATCACTTTATAGATGTAGCTACAGTGAGATTAAAAGGTAGATGGGATACAAGGAAAATAGAAGCAGCAAGTAAGAGAGAGGTAAAAGTTTATAAACTAAAGAAAGAGGCAGTTAGGGTAAGATATAAACAAATATTGGATGATAGATGGACTAGCTAGAGTATAGGCAATGGGGTCGAAGATGTATGGGGTCTGTTTTTGAATGTAGTGTTAGAGTGTTCAGCAGAAGTCTGTGGTTACAGGAAAGTGGGTGCAGGAGGGAAGAAGAGCGATTGGTAGAATGATGATGTAAAGAAAGTAGTAAGAGAGAAAAAGTTAGCATATGAGAGGCTTTTACAAATTAGAAGTGATGCAAGGAGGGAGGAGTATATGGAGAGAAAAACAGAGGTTAAGAGAGTGGTGAAGCAATGTAAAAAGAGAGCAAATGTGAGAGTGGGTGAGATGTTATCAACAATTTTTTTTTTTTGAAAGTAAGAAAAAGTTTTGGAGTGAGATTAATAAGTTGAGGAAGCCAAAGGAACACATGGATTTCATAGTTAAAAATAGGAGAGGAGAGTTGTTAAATGGAGAGTTAGAGGTATCGGGAAGATGGGGGGAATATTTTGAAGAATTTTTAAATGTTGATGAAGACAGGGAAGCTGTGATTTCGTGTAAACTGCAAGGAGGAATAACATCTTGTAGGAGTGAGGAAAACCCAATTGAGAGTGTGAAGGGAAGTTCGTGAGGCACTGGGTAGAATGAAAGGGGGTAAGGCACCTGGGATTGATGAGATAAAGATAGAAATGTTATAAGCAGGTGGGTACATAGTTTTGGAGTAGTTGGTGCTTTCATTTAATAGATGTATGAAAGAGGGTAAGGTACCTAGGGTTTGGCAGAGGGTATGTATTGTTCCTTTGTATAGAGGCAAAGGGGACAAAAGAGAGTGCAAAAATTATAGGGGAATAAGTCTGCTGAGTATACCTGGTAAAGTGTATAAAGAGTTATTATTGAATAAATAGTGAAATTCCAAGCGCTTTCGTGACTTCTCACATTATCAAGGAACTCTAAAATATAAGGTTAACAGGAAAGCATATAGGGACGAGACTACACCTCACTGCCACCCCCAGCAACACATGACTTTATATTATGATGTAGGAAGATAGTCAGTGATGCGTGAAAAAGCTTATATTCTACTCAAATATTTGTCTAAATACCTTAAATTCTTCCCAAATTTTATTAATTATAAAAGAATCCAATTTATATAAACCAAAAAAACATTCATACAATTTTCAAAACTACTTTTTATGAAACATGATTCTATTATATTCCTGTCTACCATAAACTTCCTTGATTTAACTTTATGAAATAGATAATGATCTGAAATACCTAAGAAACTTAATTGATACATCCTTTAAAATAGCTGGAAATATTTTTTACAATTCAAAAAGGGACAACCAACCTTATTCAACTAAAGTTGGTTCTCCGTTACCATGAAAACTTGGTTGATGTTCCTTCTCTGCTTAAGAAGTTTAATATCAAAGTTGTATTTAAAAATCTTGACACGGTTAAAAAACTTTTTGACAAAAAATTCCCCCCAAAATGCTGACGGTGGTGTCTATAAGATTCCTTGTCAAATATGTGATAAAGTTTATTATGGTCAAAATGGTAAAAGTCTTGATCTTAGGTTAAAACAACATGAAATATAACATTAGAAGGGGAAAAGATTCTAATGCTCTATTTATTTATGTGAGAGATTTTAACCATCCAATTGGTTTTAAAAGGGCTGAGGAAGTTATATCAAGCAAGTCTATTGTTCGAGCCCTCGGCTATTCACAGTGTTGCTATTCATTAAATAACACTCGTTCGTTGTTACAGTACGATATATACTGCTTGTGGAGGTTCGTACAGCAAACAGGGAGTAGAATGAAATTAGCTCTGAGGCACTCACACCATCGTATATCCTCGGTTCACGGTACAACACCTAGCTCTGCTGGGTGCTTAATCTTTGTAGTACTGGGTAATCCTGTGGGTTAGAGCATCGTGTAATTTTTGCTCACCATTAGGCGGGCCAAAACAACATGGGTTCGAGCCCTCGGCTAGTCGCAGTGTTGTTATTGATTAAGTACAACTCATTCGTGGTTACAATACGTTATATACTGTTTGTGGAGGTTAGTACACCAAATAGGGAGTAGAATGAAATTAGCTCTGAGGCACCCACACCATCGTATTTCCTCAGATCACTGTACAACACCGAGCTCTGTTGCCAAAAAAGGCCCTGCCTCTTAAATGTCGCTACTATGTCATTCTCCCTGCTCCATGAACTTTATCATACCTCTTCTTAAAGCTATGTATGGAGCCTGCCTCCAATACATCACTTTTCAGAGAACTCTGTGACTGATGAAATGCTTCCTGACATACCTGTGACTCTTCTGAGTCTTCAGTTTCCATTTGTGAACCCTTTTTGCTGTGTCCCATTTCTGGAACATCCTGTCTCTGTCCACCTTGTCGATTCCTCTCTTATCAACCCTATCTTTCCTGTCCTCCAGTGACGCCGGACGGATTTCCCTTAACCTCTCCTCATAATACATGCCCCTTAGCTCCAGGACTCGTCTCACCGAAACCTTTCAACTTTCTCTAATTTCCTTATGTGCTTGACTAGGTTTGGGTTCCAAACAGGTGATGCATACTCTAATATGGGCCTGACGTACATGTGTACAGAGTCTTGA